ATCACTGAGGAAAACATGAGTTCAAATCCTGCCTCAGACACTTAGTAGCTCTGTGACTTAACCTCTGTCTGCCTTGACTTGAAGCAGCGGATAGAGAGCCAGTCTTAAACCCAGGAAAATGTAGGTTCAAGTCTCCCACCTCTGACATGAACTGACCTTGGGCCAGGAGCCTCTCAATGCCCTAGGCCACTCCCTAAGACTCTCAGGTGCAAGAAAGTGCTACTCTGCATTGGTGGAGGGAATTTCCTCCTCCAGGAGTTCTACATCCTAGCAGAACCCCAGGTTCAGCTCTGACCCCGATCCCTGAAATGAGAACAATACTAGCACCTGCCTCCCAAGGTTGTCCTGAGAATGCAGCCAGATGACATTTGGCAAATCTACAGTTATGAGAGCCTCTGATATGTTGAAATGAACAGGTGAGGAAGCCCTCTGCCCTTGGCTCAGGAGAGGGCAGGGTGGGGGGTCACGGGTGGGGAATCCCACACGTACTGTGGTACGGACTCACTGTCTCTTTGTCTTTTGCTTAATCATTTTGCTTGGTCACAAGAGCACGTTTAAGGAGTTGGGTACATCAGGAGATAGCCATGGCGTGAGAGAAACCAAAAGGTAGCCACAAAAATATCTGAAAAATAATAAACTGCAAACTCTTTGCTAAATAACTAAATAATGAATACAATGAATGCAGAAAGACCAAAAAGGCTGCATCCAGGACTGATTCTCTATGAGAGTGCAACAGACTTACTGTGGAACCTTCAGTGAGCTACTTCACCTTCCTGTACACTACTTTGCTCATTTGTCAAAGCTGGCTAATGATGGAGCCTGCTTTTTGGCTTGTTTGTTTTTTGTTTTTGCTAGGCAGTGGGGTTAGGTGATTTGCCCAGGGTCACACAGCTAGTAAGTGTCAAGTGTCTGAGGTCAGATTTGAACTCAGGTTCTCCTGACTCCAGGGCAGGTGCTCTATCTACTGTGCCACCTAGCTGCCCCTGGAGCCTGCTTTAAAGGAGTGTTGCTTGAGCTAATTAATTAGTATAGATTAATTAGGATGTCACTGCCCTCTTGACTAACTCTTTGGCACAGAAGATGCGCACATGCACACTTAGACTGAAAGTGGAAACCCACACTAAGATCCTCATTTCTGCTATCTTCCTTATTGTGCTTAGCTGTGTTAAAGGAGATACCATTGAACAAACCAGCAACCTTCTGGTTCTCTAAAATAACCACAGATGGGCTTTCCTTAAAGAGTCACCAGGAGGAAAACTGCCCAAGGATTTGTGGTGTTTGATTTCACCTCTGCTAAGGCCTTCTTCAGACCCTCAGTGTGGTACAGAGGGGATCTCGGGTGACCCAAAGTTCATACCAAGCTGGAAAAACTTTGAGCACAACAGCCCCCAGAACGGACAGAATCTACTGGCCAAGGAAACCTCAAAAGCATACTAGAGAGTAGTGGGAGGAACACTGGATTCTGAGATTTTGAGTCAAGAACCTTAGTCCAAATCCTGGCTTTGCCCTTGAGCAATCTGGATGTTAGTGTTCTCTTCTGAACTGTTGTTGAATCACGTCCAACTTTTTGTGACCCCATTTGAGGTTTTCTTGGCAAAGATCCTGGAGTGGTGCGCCATTTTCTTCTCCAGCTCATTTTACAGATGAGGAAACTGAGGCAAACAGGGTTAAGTGACTTGTCCAGAGTCACAGAGCTAGTAAGTGTCTGAGGCCGGATTTGAACTCAGGTCTTCCTGACTCCAGGCCTGGTGCCCTATTCACTGCAGTGCTACCTAGTTATACCCTTCCAGTTCTAGAACTCAGATGCCAAAAGAAACATCTCAGTTGCAGACTGTCTACCGAGGGAAGACATTTTTTTTTTTTTTGCCACAACTTAGGATGTTGTCCTCAGGGGCTGCAAAAGTGTGTCTGTGAAAGGGTTGGAGAACTGATGCATTTACTAATTTGTGAACTGAAACCCAACAGCATCCTTTCCTATATAAGCATTAGTGCTTGGTTTGCTAGCAGAGGACTTAACAAAGGCTAGGTTTCCAATAGGCAGTTAAGCCATAGATGACCAAGTAATAAGCATGGACAAAGTCATGCAGACACCTCCCCTCTAGGTTGGCTCTGTCCCAATGCCTCCGTGTGGCACAACGTAGACAGCACTGGACTTGGAGTCAGGAGGACCTGGCTTCAGACCCTCTTTCAGATTACTGTGTGATCCTATACAAGTCAATTAACATCTGTGCCTCAGTTTCCTCATTTGTAAAATGAGAGGTTGGACTCAGTGGCCTCTAAAGCATCCTTGCAAATTTATGATCCTGTGATAATATCACAAAAGTACGTCAGACAATGAAACCAGTAAATAATCAGCCAAAAGGTATTAAGCATGTGTTATGTGTCTTGATCAGCCAAGGCAATGTTTCTGGACAAAGTACAATGCTCTCTCCAGGATCCTGGCCAAATTTCAAAACAGGACACTATTCTTTGTGCCTTAAATGCACTGCTGTGATTTCAGTGTCCCCAAGTCAAGAGGTCCTGGAGGTAAATCCAGATCCAACTCCTCCTACAGGACCTATTTCGCCTCTCTGTGCCTCAGTGTGCTCATCTATAAAATGGGCATCACAACATAACAAGAGAACCCTCATGGTACGGTTAAAAAAAAAAACAAACAAACCAGTGCAGACTCTGGAGTCAAAGCACCTGAATTCAAATCCTACTCAGCCACTAAGTAGCTGTGAGACCTTGGGTGGGGCGGGGTGTAGTGGGACATTTCTCCTTTTTGGGCCGAAGATTTTTTTCATGTGTAAAATGAAGGGGGTTGACTATATGGCCTATAAGATCCCTTCCAGCTGCTCACCTCAGGCGCTTATTGGAAGAACAGTGTTCAGAAGCCTTAGGGGCTAATGAGAACCTAAGCCATCAGCTGTCTGCTCTGAGCTCTCGCTGTTTTGGTGTCCATGGTCCTGTACTTGGGTCTGCATTTGACTAGAGAGGGCCTAAATCCAGGGGCTGGTGAAAGGGCAAACACTCCCGCCTGACCAAAGTGCTCACAGTAAAAGGGCTCATATCCACATGCCTCTCTTCTCTCCCCCACTCCATTAACTTACCTTTCCTCACCAGCAGAAGGAACCTCTCTTAAACTATATAACTATGTAACCAAGAGGCAGCATAGTACAGTGAGAAGCTGGGGAACCTGGAACTTACAAGACCTGCATTCAAATTCTGCCACGGACATTTTCTAGCTGTGTGACCATGGGGAAATCACTCAGCCTCTCTGAATCTCCATTTCTTCATCTTCAAAGTGGAGTTAAAATTACCTGCAGGACTAAACCCAACAGACTTGTTGTAGGAACCCAAGGAGTTAATGTGAATCAAAAGTTCTTTAGAAGTCGTAAAATGGGAGATAGCTCCATAGATTGGAAAGAACGTACATTTGGATTGAACAATCCATAAACATTTATGAAAAGCCTAATATATGTGCCAAGCACTGTATTTGGGGCTTGGGATAGAAACAGTGAATTAAACAATCCCTACTCTCAGGAACTGGGTCCAAGTCTTTAACTCCACCACCCACTCCCTGTGAGACCTAGGACAAGTCACCTTCCCTTTTTGTGACTCAGTTTCCCAATCCATAAAATTAAGGTGTTGGCTAGTTATGTCTAAAGTCCCTCCAAGCTTGAAATCTTTGATCTCATGAATGTTGGTTATTATTAGTAAACACTCTCCGTGCTAGCTATAAAGGTCCATGAGAAAAATACTCTGCCTACCCACTAGACTGATGGTCAGTTGTTTCAGTTTTATTCGACTCTTTGTGACCCCATATGGGTTGAGTGTTTTTTGTTTTTTTGCTTTGTTTTTGTTTTTGTTTTGGCAAAGATACCGGAGGAGTTTGCCTGTTTCCTTCTCCAGTGGAATAAGGCAAACAGAGGTTAAGAGACTTGCCCACACAGCTATTAAGTATCTGAGGCAGGATTTGAACTCATCTTCCTGACCCCAGGCCCAGCAGCTCTAACCCCTGGGCCACCGAGTTTCCTCCCCACACCAGACAGGTCTGTATGAAACAACCCAATTGCCTCAGAGGTTTGTTTTACTGACCCAAAATGTTAGAAAGCAATATGAACCACCTCCCTGTGTCCTACTTCTTCAGATCAGAGCCTCCAGGTGTCCTCTTTAAGATGTACTTTGTGTTTAAAGAAACAGTGTGCCCAGATTCAAATATTGGAGCAAATCATATAAAAAAAATAACAATTTGGCAGAAGGGTGGACAGTTTTCACCTTGCCATTCCAGGGGGGTGGTGCTGTACATAGAATGGAAGGCATACACACCATCCTCACAGAATCACAAAATGTTAGAACTAGAAGCTGTCAGGGGCTTCAGAGATCACTTTGTCATTGATGAAAGCACACATTCAAGGTCACATGCCTAATAAGGTTCAGACTGTGTTCTAACTCTTCAGAGAATAGGTATAGGGAAAGAGCCCTGAATGTGACAGCAGGGTACCCAGCCTGGGACCTGGGCTCTGCTTTAACTTTATCTGTGACCTTTAGACCAAGTTTCTCTCAGTTCACAGGATTTAGAGTTGAAAGGGATCTCTGAGGGCATCTAGTCTAACTCCCTCATTTTTTAAAAACATTCTTTAAAATTTAATATTTAATTTCCTCCCCAAATTACATTTAAAAACATTTTTGAGACCCCCCTCATTTTAACTGAGGCCTGGAGAGATTAAGTGATTTGCCCAAGGTCACAGGAGTGGTAATTAGCAAATGCAGATTTGAATCCAGGTCCGTTAACCCAAATCCAGAATTCTTTCCCTAACATAATCAGACCAGGTCAGGGGTTCTTAATCTTTTTGTGTGTGTCATAGACACCTTTGGCAGTCTGGTGAAGCCTATGAACCCCTTCTCAGAATGATATTCTTAAATGCATAAAATCAAATACATAAGATTACAAAAAGAAACCAATCATATTGAAATCTATTTATCAAAAAGCAGGTGAAGAGGTCCTGGAGATGAACCGCCAGGTAAGGCCCCTTTATATTCTTCATAGTCTGACACGTCCCAGGCTGCCTCTCTCTGGCCTCCAAAGCCCATCTCCGATTCAGTCGAGATTAACAGGCACCCAGCACACTAACGGCACTTCCTCCATATGGAAAAGATCCTCTCATGCCTACTTTAACAACAAGCCCGGTACACACTGAAACAGACCGACGGGATCTTGCTGGGGAAGGTGGGATATGGGTGGACAAGGTCTCCCAGCTTAAGAGCATTGCTCTGCGAGTCAGGGACCAGACTCCCGGTGGTCGGGTTGGAGTGTGCCTCCCAGCAGAAGGGACGATCGGGGCTCCGAAGGGCGCTGTGGACCCGCTGGCGACCAGACCCCTGCGTGCTCCCTCTCCCTACCTAGGCGAGGCACCCCAGCAGGCCCCTTTCACCTGGCTGGGGGCGAATTGTACACCTCCCGGAACTGGCCACCCAAAGCACGTGGCCCCTCGGCCCACCGACGCCGGGGGCCCTCCGGCCATGAGGTTGATACGTCTAGGGTAGCTGTCCCGAGACCAGACGGGAGGCTTTGGCCATCGGCCCCGGCCATGGGGCTCGCGACCCTTCCCTGCCCTCGAAGGAGCGGATGACATGGCCACTGGGCTCCCACCACCACAGTCGCGTTCGGAACAGCACCCCACCGCACGCCCTGCCCCAGTTCCAGCTGCCTCCAGCGTCTGTCCTCCCCTTGTGGAGGCTACGCCAGACACAAAATCCCTCCGGCCCTTGCCAGGCCGCCACCGCCGAGGCTTCGCTGCCCCGGGATGAGGAAGCCTTGTTTCCCGGGTTGGGGCCAAACACGCAGGTTGTGGGATCTGGGGGAGGGACGGGGCTCGCTGTGGCCAGGGAGCAGAGAGGGACCCAGGCCTCCCTTGTGTGGCCTGTCTGCCGCCTCCACGGCCTTGGGGTGGTTTGACAGGGAAAGAGCGCCTGTCTGATTAGGTGTTCAACCGGAGGCAGGTTCGGTTGCTCAGGTGGCTCGGGTTCGAGCTGCCCTTTTGCTCCTGTCATTGTCTTTGCCCATATGTCTGCCTGGGCGTGGGGCAGGTCCTCTGGGCCGCCTGTCTATCCCTGAGGGCCGACCTTGCCTATCTGATCTCTGCCTCACTGTGTGTGCGTGCGTGTGTGCGTGTGTGTGTGTGTGTGTGTGCTGATAGCCTCTCCTTTCTTCCTGTCTATTTTCCAATGTATCAGTCTGCCCTTCTGATTTTCTGCCTCCACCTGTGTGCCCAGCTGGTGTTTCTCCGTCTGCCTGCCCGTCACTGTCAGCTTCATCTGTTGTCTGCCTGTCAGTGGGTGTCGTGTCTTGTGCCTGCCTGCCTAGCTTCCTGTCTGTCTGCCTAGACATCTCCCTGCCTGCCGGCCAGTCTGGCTCTCTCTACGGGGCAGCCTGCCCTACTGTCTGCCTGTCTGTGTTTGGGCCTCTGTCAGTCCATTTACCTGCCTAACCTAATGGGCTTACTGCTTATCTGTCTCTCTGCCAGTCTACCACCTGTCTCTCTCTGCCTCTTTCTGCCTGCGCTTTCTCTCTCCCCC